TCAGAATTTTGTGAAACTTTATTGACTTCATTCATCCAATCATGTACAAGCAAAAATAATTTCTTTTTTTAATACTCCTTGAACATGATTGGGTAAAAAACACTGCCTCATTCACTAAGCTATGAGTCAAATTCCCTTGCATAGTGAACAGGCTGTCTTTAATAAACTAATTCCAATTAGTAACAGATGTTTCTCCAATCCACACTTTTTATACTCTATAAATGCACAATAACGTATCGATAATGGAACTGAAAAGAACTCTTCCTCACTAAACTTAATGCTGAAATTTCAGCCAGCTGCTCAAATGGTTGTCTGCAAACTTGATTTACAACCACTATTGTTCAGCAGATAGAGAAACTAATTGAGATGTCTGTATAGTATTTCTAAGTGGAAATAAAAGACGTATATTACAAAACATTCAGAATAGTAAAAACAAAACCAAATAATTTAAATGTATTGTATATAGGCGAGCACTGGTATTAACTATAAAGCAGCTAGCACGCTAGGTATAGGTAACAATCCCCACAAATATATATCCCTTGTGTGATTAATAACACATTCATGTCCTGCACCTTATATTGCTGCACTTTATGACCCTATGGACACTTACTGAGTTTTTTATGGACATACCATTTTACCTATTTTTAATATCTTACTAATTATCACTTGCAACCATGAACATAATTACTATAATACTGTCTGTTGATTATTTTTATTTGCACTTTTAGGGCACTAATCACTTGTATTCATGGACATTATTGATTTATTAAAACTTGCTGATTTGCTGTTAATTTTATACTTGCACGTTTAGTGCACTTATGTGATGCACTTTATTGTTCCACTTGATTCATTTAGCTTTTTATTGTGATTTTAGAGCTGCACCTTTCAATATATAAACCAAATAATTTCCTTGCGCTAGCAAAAACAGAAAATAAAGACTGATGCATCCACTACACAATCTAGATGCTAGATGTAAAACAGCTACTTGGAAAAAAAAGGGGTGTGCTGTCTCTTAAAAATTCCAAAGTGCAATTGTGCATACAATATCAAACCATATTATAGAGAAAATAGATAATGTGAGCTCAATATATGCAATAGTCTAAATAAATATAAACAGAACATCACAAATAAGGTTGTGCCAAAACACCATACTCAATTATCAAAAAATAAATAAATAAACCTAGAAGAATATATTTCCGTACAGATGGACAAATGTGTGTATGGACAATAATAAGCTAGATGTCTAAATATGTCAAAAACACGCAAACGTAAAAAGTGTACGTGATATAACCTAGTACTCAACTCTCAAAATAGAAAAAAACATTATAAAAGTGTATATGCGTACAGATGGACAAATGTACATATGGATAAAAGTTAAATAAACATAAATATTGCAAACAAAGTTGAAGATGAATAAAGCAACCAAATGTGCAAAATGTCCGTATAGATGAATAAATATCCTGGTGTACAGTCCAAAATCAAGATGGAAAATTCCAAAGGAAAAGAAGACACACCTCAAAGTATAAGATGGAGAGCATTCAGTGCTGCAGGAATAAAGTGTGCCAGGAAATCACACCACCCACATGTAAGGTAAACTCCTCACCAGAGACACTGATCCCACATAAAGATTGTGAAGCGCCTTGCTGCCCCACGGCACAAAAATATTCAGACACGACACTCCTCTCTCCTCTGAAGGCGTTGTTTACAGTGAAACGCATTAGGAGGGCCAAACAGGTGACAGTATTATGCACACTGGCGGAATCCAGCGATGCTCATCGTTTTTATTGTAAGTACATTACCATATTAAAAGACCTTGGTTTTAACATACTGCACTATGGTGGTCCCTTCTTGTTTAACCTCCCTAGCGGTATGATTATTTCAGATTTTTGGTGCTGAAAGCGGTACCATTATTTTGCATGGAAATATGTAGTTTTTTTATTGTAGCCTGTAATTTTTAGGAATAACTCACTGAAATCTGTACGAACAAGAGTCTATTAAACATCCCGGGTATGATAAAATTTGAAACACGAAATCATAAATTATAATTTAATAAATAATCATAAAAAATAATAATATAATAATACATTTAATTCAATAATATAATCAAACCAAAAACACTGAAATTTGAAATATAGCGCCAAGTTCGCACATCGCTGAGCAAAGTCGCAAAATCGTTTTCAGTGTCTGATGACGAATTTCCCCACGAATCATTATCACTCAATTCTGCAAGTGGTTCTGATTTACTATCGCTGTTCTCTAGCTGGTCTAAAACCACTTTTGACCTAAAGGGACACTTTTTGGACACCATGGACTTTTCTCAGTTTCCAGGCAGAAAGAACAGACAAAATGCAGGCAGGGCACAGGACAAAGCACTAGGGACAAAATGTATGTGAAATGGGTTGAAACAGCAATAATTTACTATGTAAAATTTGTTTGGAAAAAAATGACATTTTTTTAAATTTTCAAATTTCCCGCCGGCGGCAACGCCCGTACGTCCCGATGTCACAGGGACCGGAACACAGAAGCCGGATGCCGGCTTCGGCCGGAGGAGATGGCCGGGGATGCTGCAGGGGACACATCGCGGGAGCGCAGGACAAGGTAAGCTCTGCAGGGACTCCCTATGCAGCGCCGCATGGTAAGCCTGTGTGTAGCTCGGGGTTACCGCTTTTGGTATAGAAATTTTACCCCGAGCTACACTCGGGAATACCACCAGGGAGGTTAACTCCTCTGTGCTGAGCACACTTACACAGGATCGTATCCAAATGGAGTGGCGTGTCTGAATATTTTGTGCTGTGGGACAGCAAGGCGCTTCATGATCTCTATGTGGGATCAGTGTCTCTAGTAAGATCACCTTACATGTGGGTGGTGTGATTTCCTAGCACCCTCTATTCCTGCAGCACTGAATGCTCTCCTTTTTACATTTTGGACTGTGTCTTCTTTTGATTTCCCATCTTAATTTTTGACTGTTCACCAGGATATTTATTCATTGTTACGGACATTTTGCACATTTGGTTGCTTTACTCGACTTCAGCTTTGTTTTCAATATTTATGTTTGTTCATTTAATTTTTGTCCATATGTACATTTATCCATCTGTACGCATTTGAGTGTGGAGTACTAGGTTATATCACATACATTTTTTAAGTTTGCTTGTTTTTGGCATATTTAGACATCTAGCTTATTATTGTCCATACATACATTCGTCCATCTGTATGGATATATACTCTTCTAGGTTTGTTTATTTTTTTAAAAATTTTTATAATTGAGTATAGTGTTTTTGCACAACCTTATTTGTGATGTTATCTTTATATTTATTTAGATTAATGCATATACTGAACTCACATTATCTATTTTCTCTATAATAACATGGTTTGATATTGTATGCACAATTGCACTTTGGAATTTTTGAGAGACAGCGCACCCCCCCTTTTTTCAAATATTCAGAATAGTAAGATTGCCATTATTTGTAGCTGAAATAAACTGTGCTCTGAGGATGAAAATCCTATCCAAACAGAATACGTATACAATAAATAAGATGAATGAACCGATCAAAATGTGACCTGGATTTCCCAGCTTTACATGCTTTGTGATAGGAAGGATTTATACAGATGTGATTTTGCTCATTTTTACTCGTAGAATGCCGCTCATATGTTCACAAAGCTGGAACATCACAAGAATATTCTTTTTAATCAGTAGGATCACAAGATGATTATACAGTATCTGTAGATAGCTATATGTATTTCCAGAAGCACAATGGTTCTCTGTCCATAGCTACATGTAAATTGGCAAATGGATATAAGTATTTTAAAATGTAATGGACTGTAGCTCACATTTTACAGTTCTTAAATTGCCCATTGATAAAGCCAATCCATAATCTCTTTCTTATGCTAGGTGCTGAGAAATGGTGAAATGGTATGCCAACAGGTATAACAGTCTGTGGTAATTTGTGCCAAACAACTTTATGTGCTTGTAACCAAACCATTGACTGAAGTGGGTCCATTATATGGCGCACAATGAAACTTTTTCCATAAGTGAAAAAGCTTATTTTATCATTTTAAAGATACTGAACATTCTGCTGTGCCGTATCTATGGCTTCTGTATATTTTTTTCACATGAATGATAGCTCCGCTGCATGAACATCTTGTCTCGCAGCACTCTTTCATCCTCCTGCTGTTAGGGCTCAAGATACAGTATAATTAACCGCTTCTACTCCACTTCCAGGTCCAGGTGAAAATTGATAATTATCCTAGAAAAACAAGAATTTATCACTACAGAGGTGCTCCTCTATGTCACACTCTGAGCAATGAATTTAAAATAGTAAAGCAATTCACACTTTCCACTTTGGTTCACCTTTAGCTATATTTTTACAAAGATAAACACAGTATTTTTCCCCATATCAACTAGAATATATGCTTTTTATGGAAAGATACAGTTTCTGCCTAGCTATTGTTAAAGGGAACAACAACAATTTTTAGCATTACACTTGACATTAATTAAAGAAGCAGTTTGCTTTATTTTACCTGACAATTGTGCTGTCATGCAACGCTGCACCCAAATGAAATGTATGTCCTTTTTTTTCCACCACGAATTGAGCTTTCTTTCAGTGCTATTTGATCGCCTGTGCATTTTTTGTTTTTACGCTATGAAAAAAAAAAAGACCGAAAATGTTCAGAAAAAAAAACAATATTTTGGACTTTTTGCTATTAAACATGTCCAGTAAAAAAATGTAAAAATCAACTTTCGTTATGAATTTAGGCCAAAATGTATTCAGTGATGTCTTTGCTAAAAAAAAAAATCCCAATAAAATTAATTGGTTTACGTGAAAGTTATAGCATTTACAAATGGCGGTATAGATACTGTAATTTTTTAATAATGGTGGCAATCAGCAATGTATGGCAGTGATCAGCGACTTATAGATATAGACTTACAGCGTTATAGATACTGGATTTTTTTATGTACTAATAATAGCGGTGATCAGCGACTTATGGTGGCAATCAGAGACTTCTAGTGGGACTGCGGCGGACATTCTGACACTGGGGGGAACTAACTTGGTGTCACTGACATCCCCAGTGACACCAATATAGTGATCAGTGCTACAAAAAAGGACTGACACTGTACTAATGGCACTGGGCAGGAAGGGGTTAACATTTGGGGCGATCAAAGGGTTAACTGTGTGATGGGAGTGTTTTACTAGGGGGCGGGGGGTGTGTGCTTCACTATAAGCACAATGATTGGGATGGCTGTGCTCAGCCATTCTGAGCAGTGTGCCCAAACTGACAGGGAGGAGGGCTGCATTGTAAACAATGCAGCCCTCCTCCCTGTCTGTGATCGCCGGTAATCACCAGGAAATGCAGAATCACACATACATATATATATATATATATATATATATATATATACATACACGTGATTTTGCGAAGAGGGCCCGCCCTGCAGCAGTAAATGTACTGCGTGCGGGCCTTAAGCGGTTAAAAACAAATCTCTATTGCAATTATACAGGATTATATTCATTGTTAACTTTTATTTATGAAGTGCCAACATGTGACACTAAATTGTAAAAAAAAAAACAAATTACATACATGGGAGAAGTTTAGGTTCCTATACCCTTATGATCTAAGTGATGTGGAAATAAGGTAGAGAATAAATTGTTAGACAATTTTGAAGAGGGGAGATTTGGGGGACAGTTAAAAAACTAGGCTGGAAACTTGTCTAATAGGATGAGGGGGTAGAATAGCAGTGATAAAGGATACATGTTTTTCACAAGATTCATCCTTTAGCAATCACCTTCAGCGGTATTGCCCTAAATGAAACCACATTGCAAGAATTTTCTGGAAGCAGAAATCTAAATGTGAATAAAAAAAGGAATACACCAGTAACACTTTGGTTAAAAAAGGAAACTGTTCTCTTCAAACATCAAAATGTGCTTCACTCCCTTCAAATTTAAAAACACGTGCCTCGATTTGAGCATTTCTCTAGATTTGCCATTTTTACCCCACACTTTTTACAAAAAAGTCTGTCAAGACACCCCAACCTTTATAATTATATGGCTGGTGCTGATTCCTTTGTGAAACTATTCGTCCCATTGGGAGATTTACCAGGAAAAGAGAAGAAATCCCTACAAATTAAATGAATCCCTTGGGGCCCCCCTGGTTACCAGAACCAATGTCCCCATTGGAAAATTTCCCCTCTATTACTGTTCTGGGGACCCGGACAACCCAAAATTCGGGATTTTCTTTTACTTAGTTATTTATTCCCTTTTGTTAATTGACATTAACACCTATTCATAAGGTATTTACCGAGTGTTTTGAGTGTTTTGCAGTAAATACCGTTAAATTGAAACTACAGGATTGCATACGATATTTAGGGAAAATGTGTCCGGACACCTAAATACCGCATGTGATGGCATAGTGAATTGAAACTACAGGATTGCATACGATATTTAGGGAAAATGTGTCCGGACACCTAAATACCGCATGTGATCTGCTTTAGTGAATGGAGCCCCTATGTTTAATAAAGGGAAACTTGAATTCAAGCTATAACCATTACAGTTTATTTTTCCTTAACATCTTTTAAATAAACAAAAATCAAGATTTATTGGCATGAAAATGAACACTAAATCTAAAATGTTACCAAGATTTCTTTATTGCAAAATGTGGATGAAACCATCAAAAGACCTAAACACAGGTCATAAAAGCAAATGTTAAGACATGTCACTGATTACAGAGACCACTGCAATTCATTTATCACAGTACCATAATAAAGTTACTGTATAGATGTGCAACATGCTATCCAATTGTAGCAAAGATATGATGCAAAAATAAGTCTGAGAGTCCCATGTATGGCTGAATCTGCAGGGAACTCAATTTTTTCCAACATGTTTTACAGCCATGTGGTGATATGAGTGAAGAGGGTATTGAACCAACATATATTTAGGTATATTGTGATCTTGTTGGGCCCTTCATCCTTTTGGTACATTTGTGAGCCTTTGAGCAGTTTATGTTTTAGGCAATGGACTTATTTATACAAGTTTAGGAGTAATTATTTATTTTTGTCCAGATAGGCATTTCAAAAAAAATGGTGATCCCTGTGCTTTTTTTTTTTGTTAATACATTTTTTATTGATTTTATACAGGGAACATACATAGCAAACCGCCTCAGGCAGCTTGTAGTTCAGACATTGTTATGAATACAGAAAGGACAGAGAACATAACAAAACATAACAAAAACATATATGAGACAAGGGTATGCAGTTGGATTACCATTCATTAGGTCACTAGATAGGTATGCAGAAGGTCACATCTTAAGGCTAGAGTGGATTACATTGAAAGTCATCAATTTGAATTTGCTAAGTGCACCTGTTCAACCAGGAGGTCCAGGGTTCCCAGACAGAGTCAAATATCATGATTCGACCTGACCAACTTGCTAAGGCACGTTCATAAGAATAATGGAGTTTAACAAGCGCTAGTGCTTCAGAGGCATTGGAGGCGTTGTAGGCTTTCCGTTGGCTGGATATCAAAAGCCTGGCAGCAATGAGAAGATGTGTGGTGAATATGCGGGCAGAACGAGGGATACCCTCAGTTCCCAGGTTTAACACTGCTAGAGCCGGGTTGGGAGTGATCATAAGACCTACTACGTCTGATAGTATTGTAAAGACTTTGTTCCAAAAGCTGACAAGTTCAGAAAATATGGAGAAGATTACAAACTTGGCCACACCCACGCCAACATAGTGGGGACAGGGAAGGAGAGAATTGATCTAAACAATAAGGGGTGAGGTACCAATGAAAATATATTTTTTTGGTTAATTCCCAGAACACAGTGTAAGGCTTTGTAGACTAATTTGAGAGTGGTCTTCCATTGGGAGGGAGCAAAGTAGGAATTCAGATCTTCCTCCCGATGTAAGAATGGACCTAGCTTAAGAAAGGAAAGTTTGTCCTGTAAAATGTTGTATATTAGAGAAATGCCTTTACTTTTCTGGGGAGTAGATAGAAAGTGATACATTAACGTTGGGGTAGGAGGATTAGTGGGTGAAGTTAACAGCAGATGGCAGACTCGGAGGTACTGAAAATAGTCTGCATCTGTCAGACCAAACCGCACCTGTAAGGTGACCATGGAGAGAGGTAGCCTGTGGGGCATAATATAATTTATGGCATGGATACCTTTCGATATCAAGGATCTAAGGTTTATATGTGGGATAAGAGAGTGTAGTGTCAGAAGTGGGATATGGAGTGGAGTATCAAAAATTCCTGGCTCAGGACATTTATTAATTTCTCTCCACGCAAGGAGGGAGGCTCTCATAGGTGAGGAAAGCTTTTTCAGGCAAAAGGGCTGCCACATGTCAGCAATTAAAAGCAAACAGAGGTCATGGCCCGGTTTCAAGAAGCGTTCTATGGTTATACAATGTGAGAAGTCCTGTGCTTTTGACCTACCTGATACATAGTGACGCCAAAGTGCTGTATGTACTGTGGAATATTATGATGGTGATCCCATGCAAACATTATCTAAGTTTATCGTGCTCAGGTAAGGTATACCTTTAATGGTAATGGATTTGAGTTTTTATTGTGTTTATGACCTGTTTTTACGTCTTTTGATGTTTTTATCTACACATTTATAAACAAACTTATTAACATTTCACATTTTTGTGTTTGTTTTTGTGCCTGTAAAGTCCGATAAATACTGATAGTTGTTTATGTGGTGAATCCAAATATACGAATGTTGCACACAAGTGAGTACATAATACTATATGTTAACTTCTTTTAAATAATTTATATTCCACAAAGAATTTCATGTCCAATACATTAACCTCAGCTTGACTGTCATCAGGGGAAGCCTAATATTATTATTATTATTATGGGGAAATTATAATTATTCAAATTTATTATTTCTATAATCATATTCAGTTTCTTCATTGTGCTATTCCAGGCAAGCACGATGTTGTCTATACATCTTTTACAAACCATGAGGTTCAGATCCAGCTTGTCACTGTTCCAAACCTTCCCAGGTTCCCAATCTACCATGGTGGTCCCAACCTGTTGCAAATAAACCTGACATCCATAAAACATAATTATGTTTAATAATAAACATGTTCTATTCAGTAATAAATGGTGTTTGTCTTTCATGTTATTTTTCTTTTTTGGGGGGATCTTTTGTATTGCAAAAGGGAATTGTTATTGGTACTTCCACTTTTTGTTTACATCTGGATCTGTTCGCGATTCCGGGGCATTCGTCTAAAGACAATTGAGTAACTCAAGTGTTTTTAATTGTGATTTGTGTGTTTTTTTTTTACGGGAATAACACAAAATTCTGTTATCACATACACATATACAAACACGTGAATTTTTGTCTGTACTTATTTTTTTAGGAAGTTAATTTTCATTGTACTTCATGTTCTGACTGGTGCTGCCAATGCTGCTCTAATGTAGTCCTACTGGCTAAAGGGGTTTGCTCCACGGGTTAGTGTTCTAGTTTGGTTGGGATATTCAACTCTGCAAAAAATGTTCTTTAGCCAGAAATTCTTACATTGTTGGTATGTATTCAATGAAAATAATTAAGGACTGGTCCCATTATTACATACAGTGTGTTGACGCATACATATTAAAGTTGAACTAAACCTATCAATTTAACTGTTTCCCAAAAGGCATGCCATGGATGATAACTGTCACAATTTTTTGTACTCTCAGCAAAACTATCAAGCCATCAAATGGTTGGTGTGTTGGCTGATCACATGTGCAGCACTATAGCAACTGCAGATCAAAGAAGAAGATAATATGGCAACTTCCTTGGTTGTAAAGTGTAAGAGGTTTTAGCACTACGTTAATGTGCATTGAGTTAAGGCTTCCCAATGACCTGTATAGGCTACCAATGAAATGCACCACTACAAACCTAAAATTGTCATGTAACAAACCCTGGGGACTTAGGGTATTAAATTTATTTAGAAAATAAAGAAGAGTACTTATGTTTAAAACTAGTGTTTTGTAGCCTCCCTAGCGGTCTGATTATGTCCATATTTCTGTGCTCAAAAGTGGTAAATTTTTTGCATGGAAATATGTGTTTTTTTTATTGTAGGCCTTCAATTTTTAGGAATAACTCACTGAAATCTGTCCGAACAAGAGTCTAGTAAACATCCCAGGTATGTTAAAATTTGAAACACGAAACCATAAATTATAATTTAATAAATAATCATAAAAAATAATAATATAATAATAATACATTTAATTCAATAATATAATCAAACCAAAAACACTGAAATTTGACATAGAGCGCCAAGTTTGCACATCACTGAGCAAAGTCGCAAAATCGTTTTCAGTGTCTGATGACGAATTTCCCCACAAATCATTATCACTCAATTCTGCAAGTAGTTCTA